ATTATTACTTTTGGCGTTACCCAAGGTTGCAAGGTTCTGTGTGTTTGGACAAACTCACGCAGCACCGTCCATCTGGAGAATAGGACCTGTGCCCCTCTGCTGGTACCGTCCCTCCCCACTTAGCCCCCAACAATGACTGGTCTGTTCTTTTCTCTGTCGCTGTCTGCCTTTTACAGAATGTCGTCTGAATGGACTTGTTACCGGAGAATCCAGCTCCCCGGTAGCTTGTGGGAGTGAGGTTCTTGGCAATAGTTTCAGAAAACGAGTTTTCAGAGGTTTGCTCGAGAGGATGGGATGTGGATAAAGATTTTATGGGCGTGGCGTTACTTTTTTTGGGTTTCCAAGTCCCCTGCCCCTTAGGCCAGTCCTGCACAAGGTACGGCTGGGGTTCCGGCAGAGCCAGGGACAAGGCCAGGGCCCCGCGCGTCCGTTCCATGTTGCAGACGGCTGTCGTTCAGCATCTGAACTGAAGTTCATGAGTCCATGTGTGGAGTCCACTGTGGCCGCGCACCATGTGGGCACAGGGGAGTGTGCCCCTGTCACAGGAACCACAGGAGTCCTGGAGCCGAGAGAGAGAGAAAGAGAGAGGGGGGGGGGGGCTTCTTTGTCTAGTGTGTATATGTTTAGACTAGAAGCCTGGTGCATGAAATTAGTGCACTGGGGGGCGGGGGTCCCTCAGCCCAGCCTGTACCTTCTCACAGCCTGGGAGCCCTCAGGGGAAGTCCTATTGGATGGCTTAGGTCCGTGGTGGACAAACTGTGACTTACGAGCCACAGGCAGCTCTTTGGCCCCTTTGAGTGTGGCTCTTCCACAAAATACCACGGCCTGGGTGAGTCTGTTTTGAAAAAGTGGCGTTAGAAGAAGTTTAAGTTTAAAAAATTCGGCTCTCCAAAGAAATTTCAATCATTGCCCTGTTGATATTTGGCTCTGATGACCGATGAGTTTGCCGACCACTGGCTTAGGCCCATTCCCCACTGCACTATCCAGCCGTGAGTCCGGCTTCTGGCTGAACGGCGCTCCCCCTGTGGGAGCGAACTGACCACAAGGGGGAAGCTCCTGCGTTGAGCATCTGCCCCTAGTGGTCAGTGCGCATCATAGCAACCAGTTGTTCCGCCATTCGGTTGATTTGCATATTAGCCTTTTATTATATAGGATTTTGTACACTCGCCATGGCCACGCTCCTCCTGGCCACTAATTTGTCCCAGTTATGACCAGCAGACAGGCAGGCACCTTTCCACGTTGCTCAGACCTTCCTGGGCATACTTCTCAACTGCCTTTGTCCGGTCTCTTTCCCCATTGATCAGTGAGGAACAGACTTGGAAAATGTTCAATGCAGCTTTTTGGCAAAGCTATAGAAATGGCACACCTCTATGTAGTCTTCCCTCTCCTTTTCTGTTAAATAATGGCCAGGCTATTACAGCGGCATCATTATCATGCAGGGTGTAGCTTTTGCGTTTGGGTTCTTTCTCGAAGGATAATAACTTTTGAAATTCATCCAGGGGTTGTATGCGTCAGCAGTTGGTTGCTGTTGCTGAGTACTGTTCAACTGTAGGGATGGACGACAGTTTGCAAGGGAATGTTTTAACTGTATAGAAAAAACTGCAAGTCGTTTTCCCGAGAGGTGATGCCATGTTGCGTTTCCACCAGCAGTGTAGGACAGTTCTGGTGCTCTGTATCCGTGTCAGTTCTTGGCATTGTCGGTTTCTTATTTTAGCCACTCTAATGGGTGTCTAGCGGTTATCTTGTTATGGTTTTAATTTGTATTTCCCTAACATCTGATAGCACTGAGATTCTTTTCTATGTCATCTGCCATTTAAGTTCTTTGGTGAAATGTCTATCCATATTGTTGCCTAATTTTTTAAAAAGTTGGATTGTTTATTATTTAGTTTGAAGGTTGTTGATATATTCTAGATAACCCAGCATTTTGCTGGATTTCTGTATTTTCTCGCAGTCTGTGATTTGTCTTTTCATTCTCTTGGCAATGTTTTTCCCCCCATTTTAAAACCATTTTCAAGGATGCAATTCAGTGGTTTTAAGTACATTCAGATTGCGCAACTATCACCACCATCCATCTCCAGTACTTTTTTCATCTTGTGAAACTGAAACTCTGTACCCGCTAAATAACTCCCCACCCCCTCAACCCCCTAACCCTCAGCCCCTGGCAACTACTATGCTTTCTGCCTCTGATTTTGAACACCATGGTATCTCATATCAGCAGAATCATGCAATATCTGTATTCTTATGATGTAATATCCTCAAGGTTATTAATCGATGTCAGAATTTCTCTCCTTTTTAAGGCTGAATGACATTACATTTTGTGTTTGTATATATACATTATATAATGCATAAATATTTTTCATGTTATGTATTTTTATATGTGTGGTTTATAAAATATACCACTATTTGCATATTTGTTCACTCCTCGGTGGAAGCTTGGATTACTTTCATTCTGAGCCACTGTGAATAATGCGGTAAACAGAGAGTGCAGAGAGTGTTTGAGTCCCTGCTCTCAGTCCTGCCGGGTGGATGCCCAGGAGTGGAATGGCTGCATCATATGGTAACTCTGGGTTTAACTTTTCGAGGAGCAGCCACGCTGTGGTGCACAGCAGTCACCCCATTTTCTGTTCCCTCCAGGTCCCCAAGGGGCTCGTGTCTCCGCTCCTCACCATTCCTGGGTATTTTCTGTCTTCCTGGTGGGTGTGAGATGTTAAAGATGTGTTTGGAAGAGCAGAAATGGAGGTTTACTTGTTTGCATGTGGATGTCCAGTTCTGCCCACATCCGTTATGGAAAAGACCATTTTTCCCTACTGTGTTGCCTTTGAACCTTATTAAAAATCAATTGACTGCATAAGTGTGGGTCTATTCTGGACGGATCCTCTCCTTAAATTTTGATCAGCCTCCCTCATGTGAAGCAGTGCTCAGCTTAATATAGTACCAGCCCTCCCTCAGAAGTAACTTGTGGGTCATGACTGAAGCAGAGGAGAAGATGAAGACATTTTGCAATCTGGCAGGGCAGACTTATTCTGCATTTTTCAGGGATGGGGTGGGGGCTCCGAAAGATAAAACCTACGGCTTTCTCCACTCATTTTTTTTTTTTTTTTTAGGAAGGAACCCAAACAGATTTGGTATAGTATATCTTTCTCAGGTTGGAAATGGGGGCTGAGAATTTCTTCTGCAGAAAGCCGACACAGAGGTCCGAGATAAGATAAATAAGCATCTGAGTTTACATTATAGGCTCCGTAGTTATACAGTAGTATAAAAATAGTGGCTATCTTGGTGGAGGCTAAGAGCACAGAGGAATCGAATATCACTGGAACAGAAATAAATGTGCTGAAGCCCCAGCCCCACGGAGAGGGCCTGGGCTCGGGAGGGTGTGGGACACCCTTCAGGCTGTTCACAGATGTCTCCCGGGGAAAAAGGAGGTGCGTGAACGACCTGAAATGATAGGGAAGGGCCGGGCTCGTTCACTGGCAGCTGGAGTTCTTCCGCCACCAGTGAAATAAACGCGGTGTACCTTTTCTGAGAAGGAAACCCTGATCCAGGTAGGGTCACCCGGTTTGTATAGAGAACACAGTTCTGTTTGCCCCTCCTATGAAGATGTCCCTGAGACCAGTGGTTGGCAAGCTCATTAGTCCACAGAACCAACTGTCAACAGGACAACGATTGACATTTCTTTGGAGAGCCACATTTTTTAAACTTATTCTTCTAACGCCACTTCTTCAACATAGACTCGCCCAGGCCGCGGCATTTTGTGGAAGAGCCACACTCAAAGGGGCCAAAGAGCCGCATGTGGCTCGCGAGCCGCAGTTTGCCGAGCACAGCCTTAGTCACTACTGCAGAGATGACCAGGGTCTCAGAGATGACCAGGGTCTCAGAGGTGGGAAAGAACACCCGGGCAAATGGCTCACATTCTTTTCTCTCTTCCTACCTGCTGCCCGGCTCTCATCCCCGCTCTCCCAAGGGAGAGCTAAAGCACAGCTCTGATCGCGTCGATCAAGCTGTGTCTCAATGGTTGCCCATCAGCCCCAAGATAAAAACACGACATTTCACAGCCGCAGCCCTTCGGGGCCTGGCCCTGGACTCCCTTTCCCACCTCTCTCTGGGCAGCTCCTTCCATGCTGTCACGGACTGCCTGCTGAGCCCAGAGAGGCCATGCTTTTCACTCCGCTGGCCACGTCCTGCTCCTTCTTCCTGGGATGGCTTTTCCTTTTTCCTTTATGTGCCTCGTGGACTCCTCGTCATCCTCTGAGATCCAGCTCAAAGGCCACCTTCTCTCGACAGCTCCCTGCACTGCCTGAGCAGGAGGCAGCGAGGAGAGGACAGTGTTCAAGGGCACAGGCTTGGGTTTGCATTCCAGCTCCATCACTTAGGAGTTGTGTGAACTTTGACAAGTTACTTAATCTCCCTGAGCCTTGATTTCAGTTCATAGTTTTTAAGATTTTTAGGGAGAGAGAGAGAAACATCGATTGTGAGAGTGAAACATCGATTGGCTGCCTCTTGCAGGCCCCCAACTGGGGATTGAGCCCACATCCTGGGCATGTGCCCTGACCCAGAATCGAATCAGCAACTCTTCGGTGCACTGGATGACACTTAACCAACTGAGCCACCCGGCCAGGGCTGAGCCTTGATTTTATAGGAGTAAATACCTCAGAAGGTTATGATAATTAAATAATATAATACACATGCATTATATAAGTATTGAATAACCAGGGGTTCATATTAATATTATCGTCAACTCCTTGACTCAGTAAATATTTACTGAGCACCCACTACATGCTCTTCACCTGTACCTGGTGCTTGGGGTGCACAAATGAATGGGATCCGGCCAGCCACGTATTTGAGGTGCTCATGTGCAGTCCTTTAAGAAGGTTTGCAAAGCACCATGGGAGCTACCATTTATTTTGTGGCCACCATACGCCGAGCACTTACGTGTGCATCTCAGTTCATCCTCCAGCAACCTCCAGCTGAAGGCGGTATCATTCCCGTTTCACACTGTGGACCCTGGTTCTCAGGAGGGTAGGTAGCTTGCCAGTGTAATACGGGGATACCTACCGAGACGAACAGGCAGGAGTTAAACCCAGCCTGCCTGGCTCTGTCTAAAGGAAATACAGCAACTATTTGGTGGATTTTATAAGCCCTTTGAGATTTGCATCTTGAAAGGCACATCCCTATCTTCCCAAAAGATGCTCCTTTCCACTTCGGCCAGAGGCAGCACGTTCAGCAGGATAAATGCTAGGGCTTACCCGAGGCGACAGGCCACGCTTCCTTACAACTCACGTTCTGTTGTTTCTATAACCAATGCTGTCTCCTCGAGTCTCACCATGACCTCCTCCGCCTCCTCCATACTCACCTGAATAGTAAATAGGAGAGAGCTGGAAGTTTATAGGAAGGCCAAGAACCCAGTAGCTTTTCTCGCTAGAATTCTGGAAGGAGGGGTAGACTTCCCTCGTCACTTCCACACTCTGTCCAGGTGTCTAAGTAAAAGCAGAGTTTTAAGATGTTTTTAGTTTTCCACAACCAGCTGCCTTGTGGGAGGCGGATGTTCCCAGTGTAAACGTGGTGCTCCCTGAAGTGCGATCTGTGGGGCTCTGCTCTGCCCTGAACAACTAGTTGGAGCCACTCGTTTACAGATTGGCCTCACAGGTGGTTCATTCTGCCCAAGGGTATGGAATACTTGGGGCACTTTGGAGGGGGACCCGAAAGGCACTTCCAGGGCCTGTTGCCAAGGTGCTGGCCCTGTGGACCTACAGGAGCGACATTACTGTCATCATCCTCTTCCCCCTTCCTGGGGGTTAAGTTGTCGGGGCTCAGCTGCCCAGGTCCTAACCTGCTCAGCCTTCTGGATGATGATGAGATCATGGATAATGATGAGATCATGGATAATGATGAGGTCATGGATAATGAAGAGATCATGGCCCTATGTGGCACCATCACCAACCATCTGGTGCAGCCTGAGGACCACCAAGATGCCATTCGTGCAATATTCGTGTACAGTCAACTGTAGAAGAACTCCTGAGGTGCACAAAAGTCCACCAAGATGTCATATTTAAGTGCTTGTCATCACAAGGCGTTATTATACCTCCAGTATCCAAAGGGTTACTGGAAAATTCACTAATGTCTGAAATTGAAGGAAACCCCCGAGCCTGTTAAGACCTCTGAGGACATTAGATTCAACAGCAGGAGAAAGAAGATTTTAAAAAGCTGGAATAGCCCGGCTTCTGTGGCTCAGTTGGTTGAGCGTCCTCCCATGTACTACCTGGAGGTCGCCATTTCGATTCCTGGTCAAGGCACATGCATGGGTTTCAGGCTGGATCCCCAGTAGAAGGCATGCAGGAGGCAGCTGATGGATGTTTCTATCTCCCTCTCCCTTTCTCTCTCTGAAATCAATAAAAACATATTTTTTAAAAAAAATTTTTAAGCTGGACTAGTTGATTTCTATTGATTAGGAGAAGAATCCTGTCACTGGATCTTTGAAATTCTCAATTCTCAGAATACTTTTCTTGGACCCCCTCAACATGATTGGGGGCCACAGCACTTCCGCACAAAATGCGATCTGCTACCAAGGAGCAGAAATTGGGAGCCTTCATCTGCTGTCCCTCGTGAAGGGAGGACATATTGTTTTCATTGCCAACCTTTATTCCCACGGATTGAAATGTGCTCTTCTTCCCATCACCTGGCTATGATCGGAGTTTCTGGGACTGTCCAATGGGGGAACAATTTGGGCGTTTTTTGAACAAATTTGTGGACTCCTCTGTTGCTCTTTTATGGAGAATACTTAGAAAATCAAATGTATTGGTCTGAGAATTATTGTGGATACTTGCTTCCCATTGCTCCTGGAACATGAATGAAACCAGCTATTCATTTGAACCAAGTGATACAGAGGCCTTTTATAACATAATCATTTTATGTGGTACCTGCAACGTAGGACATAATATAATGTCAGGCAGCCCTTGGCTGGCGGAACTGAACCAGCCTTCATGTAGTGGAAATGAGACGTTGTTGAGCAAAAGAGAACTGAGTGTATTAGTAAATTACCCAGTGAAGCATCAAGCACCGATGTCCGTCTACACAGAAACTCTCCCAGCTGCTACGTGGGCATATTTAGTTGAAATACCTTTTTTGACTACCTGCGTTGCAGCAGATGTTCTGAAGGCTTAATGCAGTTCTTCCAATAAATCCCACTGTAAATATTTTAGAAGAGATGTTTTTAAGCAGAAAAGGGTGCTAACAAGGCTCTTAAAGATGTTTGGATCCCATTGTATTGGTCATCGTTATTAGTGGCAAACACATACTCCACTTCAACTATTTTCGTCTGAAAGGAGTTTGTCTCAAGAGTTCAGTGGCTTGTGGACCAACTCTGATGGCCAAAGAATCACATTTGGCTGTTCTCACAGCGAGGAAGAAACTGCTTCACGGTACCTGCTGAGGATTGAACCTAGAAGCTTCAACATAACAGCACTTATTCTCCCTTAAACTTGGTGCTCACTTTCTAGGGACTACGAGGAATAAAAGAAAACCAATTCTTATAGGTGAATTTGACTCTCTTTAGGCATATATGCTCACTGTCGGAACGGAGCTGAGATCTATTATAGTTAAAAGAGGCCTTATAAACAACAAAACCCTAGATAAACAAATTGAGGCATGTTTAAACAATCAAATCATTTATAACCAGTAAAAGGAATAAACTAGAGTCACATCTGTGAATATGCCTAAATTGGGAAAATGTAATGTTGAACCACAGAAAGCAGGTTCCATAATAATCACACATACAGTGGGATACCATACATACAAAGATTGAAAACTTGCAAAAACATTTCCAGTATAGTATATGGATATATGCATATGTTATAAAATTATAAAAACATCCTTAAGAATGGTAAGTTCATAGTAGTGATTATTTCTGGAGAGGGAGGAAAGAGAATGGGATCAGGAAAGGGTACACATATAGCTTCAGTTGTATTTTTAATGGTTTGTTCTTTTATGAACTATTTTCTTGGGACAGATACAGCCAAATGTTAAGATATGCTAGATCGCCGAAACTGGTTTGGCTCAGTGGTAGAGCGTCGGTCTGTGGACTGAAGGGTCCTGGGTTCGATTCCGGTCAAGGGCATGTACATTAGTTGCCGGCACATCCCCGGCAGGGGGTGTGCAAGAGGCAGCCGTTCGATGTTACTCTCTTATCAACGTTTCTAGCTCTCTATCTCTCTCCCTTCCTCTCTGTAAAAAATCAATAAAAATAAATAAAAATAAAAAAAGATATGCTAGATCTGAGTCATTGGGTAGCCTAACATATGGTTGTTTGTTATATTTATTCTCTGTACGTCTCTGTATGTTTAAATACTTCATCATTTTAAATGTTAATTCTGGACTTTTGAGTATTAAGATACATATATTTTAATATTAAGACACATTTTTAAAAAATATTATCTTTTTTAATATATTTTATTTATTTTTTACAGAGAGGAAGGGAGAGAGATAGAGAATTAGAAACATCGATGAGAGAAACATCAGCTGCCTCCTGCACACCTTCTATTGGAGATGTGCCCGCAACCAAGATACATGCCCTGGACCGGAATCGAACCTGGGACCCTTCTTAATCTATAGGTGGATGCTCTATCCACTGAGCCAAACCGGTCAGGACAAAATATTACCTTTCTTCCATAGAGAGGAATTCAAAAGAAGTGGTAAAAGTGCAGTTACTGAATTCCATCAGTTCTCTCCCCTCTAGGAAAGTGTCCAGGGTATCCAGAAAACTTGGTCACTGCACTTTCCAAAGGGGCTTAAGTGACCCTCGATGCTTGCTCAGGCTTTGCCAGGTGTGTGAGCTGGAGCCAGAGCACACCCCGGTCCTATCACGTTTCTCTCCGGTGACCTTCCAGAGGGTGTCATGAGTGCTTGGTCCAGAGCCACGTGGGCTTTGTGTAGAGTTCTGACCACAGAAGTCCACGTTGGTTTAAAATGTTCTGTTTACAAACGCGAAGTCCCATAGCTGGGGTGTCATCAAAGGAAAGATTCGCCTGACTTGCCAATTCTGCCCGGCTATCGTGGGAATTCATGGGGAGGAATAAAGGGACTGAAACGTTCAGTGAAGTCCTTTCTGTTAAGCAAAGTGAGATCCCACTGGAAGGAGAACAAAGAAATGTGTGAAATGCAGAATCAAGCGGAGGCCTCTTAACAGTCCTTCCAACTGGAGATGTGTTGGAAGGACTGTGGTCCCAGCTCAGAGGCCGCCACCAAGACCTGACCTGCCGGGGTTCCCATGTGGCCTGAGCTCTGGTTTCCCAGGGGCTGTGTGGCCTCCAGCTCTACTTTGTTTGTTTGTCTTTTCAGCACAGGAATTTTGACGTGGAGGCCACCAATCCCCCAGTGGTCCATGAATAGACTTCAGAGAGAGTACATCTTCGTTTTTAATGACCTCTGGCTAAAATTTAGCATTTTTTTTTCAGTGACTGGGGTAACTGGCAACAAACAGCTGAGGTAGTAACAGTGCTTGTACCTTTACCTTTATGTCCAAAACAGACTGGTCTGTGATTTTCTTCTCTTTGCAAGTCCTTGTGAGGTTTGGTGTCCATGTTATGCTGGACTTAAAAATACATTGGAAGGTTGGTGTTATTTCTTCCTTCAGTGTTTGGCAGAATGCATTGCTGAAGCCCTTGGAGGCCTGGGGGTATTTTTGTAGGAAGGTTTGAAAAATAGATTTAAGTTACCTAACAGAGGCAGGCCTATTCAGATACTCCCTTTCTTCTCAAATACCCTGTTTCCCTGAAAATAAGACAGTGTCTTATATTAATTTTTGCTCCCGAAGATGCGCTAGGTCTTATTTTCAGGGGATGTCTTATTTTTCCATGAAGAAGAATACGGTACACATTTATTGTTAAATGAAAATAAAGGAAATTTATTACCTGTTTATAGTACGGTAGTTGTCAACACAAACTAGACAAACTGTGAATCCTACAGTATCAAGAATGTACTCGTTTATTCAATGACAATCATGTCATCATCTTCTGGAACATCATCATAACAATCCAATTCCTGAATTTCCTGGTGAATTTCTTGTGACTCCGTTTCTTTCAGAATCAGTGGACCAAATCTTTCATGTTTAGCAATAGCATTCTGAGACAGAGCCTAGGGGGGGCCTTATTTTCAGGGGATGCTTTATATTTCACTCAGAAGGAAACCTGTAAGTAGGTCTTATTTTCAGAGGATGTCTTATTTTCGGGGAAACACGGTACGTTTTGGCAAGTTTCTTTTTCTAAGCCATTTGCCCGTTTCATCTACATTTTCAAAACAATGAGTAAACTTTGTTCCAAATATCCTCATCTTTTTAATGGCTGGAATCTGTCATGCTGTCCTCTTTTTCATTTTTGATATTAAATGAAATCTGGAAACATTACCAAACCTTAGGGTTCTTAAGGACAGCCATTGATATAGGAGTTTAAATTGGTTCATTCTATTCGGAAGACTGTTTTGCAGTGCATATCAAACATTATAAAAAGTAAGTATACGATAGCCAACAATCTCTTTTAAGGAATTTGTCATAAATAAAGAGTTTCACAAATTCAGAAATATTCAACACACCATTCACTACACAGCAGAAACACGGGAGCTACCTGTAAAGTAACAGGGGATAGAGAAGTCATTATTATGTTGTTCATAGTCACTAGAATGCCTTTTTTTAAAAAATATATATTTTATTAATTTTTTACAGAGAGGAAGAAAGAAAGAGAGTTAGAAACATCGATGGGAGAGAATCATCAATCAGCTGCCTCTTGCACACCCCCTTCTGGGGATGTGCCTGCAACCAAGATACATGCCCTTGACCAGAATCAAACCTGGGACCTTTCAGTCCGCAGGCCGACACTCTATCCACTGAGCCAAACCGGTTTTGGCTAGACTGCCTTTTGAAGTTACAAACAGATGACAGAGGGGTACAGTGCTGGGGAGATATTGCAGGCTCCCCAAACCAAGTCCTAGAAGAACACGTGCAGAGTAACCTCAGCTGTGTTAAGTACGCACTCCCATATGTGAATGTTTACATAGGAAATAATTTGGAAGCACGGTCATCACATTCCTAAGAGACATTATCTGTGAGGGGTAGGATGTTGGGTAATCGTTGTTTTCTCTGTGCTCATCTGCACCGTTTAAATTGTTTGCATGGCCGAAACCGGTTTGGCTCAATGGCTAGAGCGTCAGCCTGTGGACTGAAGGGTCCCAGGTTCAATTCCGGTCAAGGACACGTACGTTGGTTACGGGCACATCCCCAGTGGAGGGGGGGAGGGGGGAGGGGGGGTGGAGGCAGCTGATCGATGTTTCTAACTCTCTATTCCTCTCCCTTCCTCTCTGTAAAAAAAAAAAAAAATCAATAAAATATATTTTTAAAAATAAATAAATTGTTTGCATGAACATGTGTCGCTTTAACAGCTCCAGCGAGACTTTCCGAAGAGCTTGGCAAGTAGCAAGAAGATGAGAGGGTGTTAGGAGGAGGGAGTGTCAAAGCATTTTTCTTGCATGATGGTGGAGAGCTTGAAGTCTACAAGAAAGAAGGAATTATCAACCAAGTTAATCCTCTGGAAGGCTAGGAAGACACAGAAATTAGCCTTAAAGGGACAGGACTGCATATTTTTATAGAGAGAAGGAAAAGATGATTGGAGGCATGCGAAAGTCCACGGCCGGGAAGAAGGGAAAATAAGAACGTTCATAAGGCATGGCTGCCGGGATATTAGTGAAACAAGGTGAGGTCATGTGCCATGAGTGGAACGTGGGAAGGGTCTCCAATAGAATTGTCAGTATGACTGGGGCTCAGTAAGGTGTGGACAGCTGAGCTGACCGAGGTGTCTTACTTGTGTCAGGGAGCCTCGTGGATATGTTGGGCAGTTTTTCTCTAGCCCAGTGGTCGGCAAACTCACTAGTCAACAGGGCCAGATGTCAACAGGACGACGATTGAAATTTCTTTGGAGAGCCGAAAACCGACTTCTGCGCATGGGTCACGAAGTTTCAATCGCACTGTACGTGCCCTCCTGCACATGGTATTTTGTGGAAGAGCCACAGTTAAGGGGCCAAAAGCCGCATGTGGCTCAAGAGCCGCAGTTTGCCGACCAGTGCTCTGGTCGGTACCAGGCTTAGCAGAGCTTCAGAGGATATCGATGAGGGCCATTTAAATAATTGGCCTCAGAAACCAGGATGCTTGGCAGGAAAGTGAAATCGAAAGAGAACCAATAACTGGATATTCAGTTGGAACCTGACATCCAAGAAGTCAGAAGACGGGTGTCCACAGTCAAATTGGGGGCTCAGCTTCCCATGGTATAGGAGTCCTGGGGGGGCGTGACGGTCTTGTCTGCGCGGTGGCCATGGGCGCACAGGTGTGGTCAGAGAAGTTGGCTGGTCAGCGGACTGGGAGGTTCAGTGGTCCTCCTCTTGGAGGGCAGCCTTTCCCAGGATGATGACAGGAATTCTTTGGGAAAAGAAGATGTTGAGGCAGGTACCATGAGATTGGCTCCAAGGAGAGAAAGAAAGCTAACTCCTCAGAGACTGCTTGGTGAAGAGAGGGCGAGAGTCCTGGCCTGGAGCCACTGCGGGATAGCAGGGAGTTTACTGACCTCAGGCCAGGACCCTGGGCTACCTGGCTGGCGTGGCTCAGTGGTTGAGCATCCACCTTTGAACCAGAAGGTCACGGTTCAATTCCCGATCAGGGCACATGCCCAGGTTGCGGGCCTGATCCCCAGAGTGGGGCATGTAGGAGGCAACTGATCAATGATTCTCTCTCATCATTGCTGTTTCTCTCCCTCTACCTCTCTGAAATCAGTAAAAATATATATATTTTTTTAAAGCAAAGGAGAAGGAATGCTCTGCAGAAGTCTCTCAGCAAAGGGACAAGAGGTATGGGGTGCAGAGGAGTTGGTTTAAAAAAAAAAAAAAAACTTGAGAAAAGGGGTTCTTAAGAGAAACAGACTAGTGAGAGGAGGGTTAAGCTGCCAAGGGATGAAGATCAGTTTGCTGGCTTCCCAGAGGAAATGCTGAACTGTATGTTTCTCTTTCTTATCACACAGCAGTATCAGCTCGCTGCAGAGAGAACAGAAACTACAGATAAGCGGAAAACAAAAACAAGTAAAACTAAAAGAACCATAACAGCTCGCCAGGTCCCAGGGTCCTGGCGCTTTGCCGCTGACGTGCTCTCCCCTGCGGTTCCCACTGCGGCCACATCGCCTCTAGAACAGGCTTGTCCCCTGGGTCACAGATGGCTCCCTCGCTGAGTCACCAGGCCCGTCCCTCCCACTTTTCCCATCCTGCCTCTGTCACCCAGTCATCTTCCCAAAACACCGCTCTCCATTGTCGCTGCCTCACCTCCCTGGCTTTCAGGAGCTGGTGTAACCTGGAGCCGTCTTCCCTCCCCACCCGTGTTTCCAAGCCTTTTCCTTCACTCAGACCCGCGTTCCTTCCCTCCCAGCTCGCTCCCCCTCCACCCTCACACCTGGTCTCTCCCCTTGCTCTGGGGCCTGGCCTATCAGGATGACCACCCCAGTCCAGATTCTCCCCGTTGTCAAGGCCCAGCGCCCTACTTCAGCCCACCTGGCCGCTGCTTTTCAGACCTCATCAGTTCTGTTTAAGTAGCACTCAGGTCTGGTGAGGACACTCAGGTTGGCAGCGCAGGATTCAGAGCTGGGAGGAGCTTGGTCCCCTGGTCATACTGATGGGGTGCCTCAGACTCACTGATGGGGTGGGTGCCTTGGACTCCCAGAGGCAGAAGGATGTTCCCAGTGTCCACCCGCAGGCTATTCATAGAAACATCGATGAGAGAGAAACCTCCATCAGCTGCCTCCTGCACACCCCCTACTGGGGACGTGCCCACAACCAAGGTACATGCCCTTGACCAGAATCGAACCTGGGACCTTCAGTCCGTAGACCGACGCTCCATCCACTGAGCCAAACCGGCTAGGGCTGAATATTGCTTTTAAAGTACAGCTTTTCTCTGATGCCTGACCTGAAACCCCAGAGATCCAAAGCAATGGGCCAGCAGTGTTTAGAATACAGCAGAATTGCCTGCGGTGATTTCTAAAAATCTAGACTTCGAAGCCCAATAGTGGGAAACCCTGATCCAGAAGGTCCAGGGTCGGACTTGATTGTCCGCATTTAAAAACAAAACACAGCACCCGGCGGCGGTGTTGGTGTGGCTCAATGGTTGTGTCCACCTGTGAACCCAGAGGTCGCCGTTGGAGGCAGCCGATCAGTGATTCTCTGTCGTCATTGGTGTTTGTCTCTCCCCCTCCTTTCCTCTCTGAAATCAATAAAAATATATTTAAAACAAAACAAACAAAACCTCCTGGATGATCCTGACAGAGGGAGCCCGCAGGTCAGCCTTTGAGACGTAGAGCTCAGACTTTGGGTGTGGCTTCCCTTTTGAGTTCCCTGATACGGGCCCCGTGGACACTGAGCTTGTCTGAAGCTTCCGGTCTTAGGAGCAGGCCAGGGTGACCCCCACATCCACATTCCCATCCAGAAGGTAACGGCACCAGCTCCGAGCTGCAGCCCACGTGCCTCCTCAGGCATGACTGGCCTGGGTCCGAGCTTCCGTCTTCCCCAGGAGCAAAATTATTTTCCAAAGTACTTTGGGGCAAATACCTTGGCAAAACAGTGAGTGGAGTGGCATTGTTAGAAACACGCCATTTGCCCAGATGTTTCTGAGTACCTTCTGTAGCGTGGATGCCCGGCCTCTGTGGCCTGCCAATGCCCATGCCACAGGACGCCCAAGCAAACCAAAGCCATGCATGTGCCCAGAGCTCGCCAGCCCCTGGCACACAGATGAGGGTGAGATGAGGGTGAGACTCAGGACACACCACCTGCCTGGGCTTCTATCTCAGTTCCGCCATTTCTAGCTGCATGGCCTTGGACATCCATCTGCCTCTGTTTGCTCATCTATAAAGTGAGGCTAGCAATGAAAAACATCATTAATAATAAAAATAAAAATAATTCCTTCATAACATGGTTATGAAGATAACAAATAAACGCATGGAAAGCACTTGAAATCGTGTTTGGCACATAGTAAGTGCCGCGTAAGGGACTGCAATTCATATAATTACTTCATAAAAATGGGGATGAATTTATGAGACTCTAAAGAGGTGACTCATTGCTCCACACAGTTATCGGTCTGCAGATCAGCAATTCCCTCCTTGTTGCATGAGCATGGACCGGAGGAACAGTGAAAAATGTAGTCAGAGCTCCTCAGCATGCTCCCGGAACCGCTGAGGGCAATTAAAATACGCCAGGCATTTTCCAGCAGGAAGGTCAGGCCTTGCATAATGGAAGGAACGCACAGACGCTCGGCATGCTGGCGCTTTGATAAGGTGGCAGTTACATAACGGGCCGCCGCCACGCAGACGAGCAGAGCGGCGGGTGGGAGCGCGGCTGCTCTGAAAAGATGTGTCGCTGCTGGAGGGAGGGGTGTGGTGACGGACGGACAGGGCAGCAGCTGCAGCCTTTGTCCAGACTGGTTCTGGGAGCCCCGTGCCCGCCCGGTGCCAGTTTGGGGGGGGGGGCACACGTTGGCCTGGCAGCAGGAAAAACGTCCCCTGACATTCACTGTCAGGCTAACACCACGGGGGAGGGTGAACGTGTGCCTTGCATTGGCCGAGGTGCCAGTGTTTTCTCCTTGGGTGTGTTCTTAAGCTAAAAGTCAGATCGCATCCGTCTCCAAAGTGGCACAAAGCTAAATTCATCCCTGAAATCATCTGTTTTATCAACCTTTTTTGGAAGAAAAAAAAAACGTAGTCCGGCTCCCATGGCTCAGTGGTTGAATGTCTACTTAGAAACCAGGAGGTCACGGTTCGATTCTCAGTCAGGGCACATGCCCGGGTTGCAGGCTAGATCCTCAGGGAGGGGTGTGCAGAAGGCAGCTGATCAGTGATTCTCGGCATTGATGTTTCTCTCTCTCCCTCTCCCTGCCTCTCTGAAATCAATAAAAATATATATTAAAAGCACAACAGCAACTCAACTGGTAGCGTTGCCAAAGCATCACCACCCTGTGTCACCTCGCCAAGTTAGCCTTGCTCGGTGCCTCAGACTTAGTGGTGCCATTCCTCAGATTCCAAGCATGGGAGGGCCCTAGAAGGGTGTGAGAAGGCAGGCCCCGGTGGCTTATTTCTGCTGGGGATGGGTGGGAGATGCTAGTCTGTGAGCATCTAGCCAGTGATTGCTCTTGCTAGCCGCTAAAGTACCTCTTAGCTGGCCCTATTTGCATTGGGCAAGATTTCTTTAAAAGAGGACTGACTGGCCGAAACCAGTTTGGCTCAGTGGGTAGAGCATTGGCTTGCAGACTCAAAAGGTCCCAGGTTCGATTCTGGTCAGGGGCATGTATCTTAGTTGCGGGCACATCCCCAGTAGGGGGTGTGCAAGAGGCAGCTGGTCGATGATTCTCTCTCATCGATATTTCTAACTCTCTATCCCTCTCTCTTCCTCTCTGTGAAAAAAATAAAAATATATTTAAAAAAAAAAAAAAAAGAGGACTGACTGATTTAACCAGACCGCTTGGTGTTTGCCACCACGTAATGCTCAAACTTCTAGAGACCATCAAGCCATTTCGTTTCTGGAACCATCGTTAGGCCAGGCATCATCTTCATCTCCTAGGATAGTGGTCGGCAAACTGTCAACAGAGCCAAATATCCACAGTACAACTGTGGTGTTTTGTTTTGTGCGTGTGTGTGTGTGTTTTACTTATTTCAGTATTTTTGAGCAATTTCATTTAAAACCTGATTTTGTTTTCTTTGTTGAGAATGAAAATTAATTTTAATATCCGCTGAAAGGTCAGAATTTTGACCATCCAGGGGAAGAGCGAGGCTGTGTCAGCTAACAAGCTTCTGCCACCACCAGCTTCGCCATCGTGGTGGACGGTGGCACCCTATCAAAGTCGTGATCAAATCTCGACTCCCTGTCTCCGGGTTCCTTGTCACAGGATATATCCTCCCTGTGCTTTGGCAGGTGACCGGGCTGTCTCCTGCCAGAGTCGTACCAAGTTTCAGATGAGGGTAGAAGGCTGAGCAGGGCTGCGTGCCTCACCACAGGAAGGGAGGAAGCAGGAAGGAAGGAAAGAAGAAAGTGCCTGCGTGAGTGGATTTAGAAAACCATTTGCCGCTTTGCTACGGAGACAGCTTCAGGGAAATTCTATCTGAACTGCACCCACCAGCTGACTGTGGCATCAAGTGACGATTTTGCTGCTTTTCTATCTGAAGCTTGCTGACGTGACTCAACAGTGTGTCTCTAGGCCAGTGGTCGGCAAACTGTGGCTCGAGGGCCACGTGCGGCTCTTTGGCCCCTTGAGTGTGGCTCTTCCACAAAATACCACGTGCGGGCACGCACGTACAGTGCGATTAGAACTTCATGGCCCGTGTGCAGAAGTCGGTTTTCGGCTCTCCAAAGAAATTTCAATCGTCGTACTGTTGGTATTTGCTGACCAATGAGGTTGCCGACCACTGATCTAAGCCAGCCCCAGGAAGCAGAATTAAACAGTGGGCAGACCAGGCTGTCCCATTCCTGCCCCTGCTCCCAGGCTGGAGTTGAGTGCTGTAATTAACACTAAAGGTTCCAGCCTGGTCCGACCCAGTGATCAATATAGAGCACATAGAATGGGCCAAGTCACCCTCCAGCCTCACCCCTCACCCCGGGGGTTGGGGGGGTGACCTTCTCTCCAGCCCTCACCACTGCTGACTGCTGACTGCAGCTCAGCCTTGTCCGTAAGTCTGGGCCCACCTCCGTCCACACTAATCCATGTCTGGGCTCACTGAGGCTGGTGGGATTGGACCACCCAGATCATGGCAGCACTCGAGCAGCCACTCACTTCTCTACACCCTGCTTCTGTTGGCCAGCACTCTCTGAAAGAAGTGATTGTACAGGAGGAGCCTTCTGATCCCCCACACAGGTGTACAGGGCACCAGGCCAGACCCCAGCGAGAGGCAGCTGCTGGTGTAGACGGGCCTGCGTGAAAGCCCAGGCTGTCCCCTGTTCCAGGCCCTTTCCCGGTGGAAACGGCTGTACCAGCTCCTGGGTGAGGAGGACCCCTTATACGTTCAATTAATGGTAACTTAGCCTGTTTGTGGAACTGTTTTCCTTTGGAAAGAAAGGGATCTTTCTTTTATTTTTTAGGTAGTGAGCCATTTTTTAAAATCTGTTTTATTACACGAGCATGTTTGCTATATGTTTATAATAGATTGAAGCAACGCAAAAGAATGTTAGTAAAAGGATAGTATATATGTAGGTATGTAATTCAGCTTTGTACACCATATTTATGTATGTGTGTGTATATATATAACATACGTGCACACATGTATTTCACAAACAATTGTAGCTACATGTTATTGCTCAACAAAAATGATTCTTTTATCTATAAAATGGAACTTGTTTTTTCTGTTTACATTATATATATATATATATATATATATATATATATATATATATATATATAAATCTATCTCGCCCAGACCAGTTTGGCTCAGTGGATAGAGCATCAGCCTGTGGACTATAAGGGTCCCTTGTTCGATTCTGGTCAAAGGCATGTACCTTGGTTGCGGGCACATCCCCAGTAGGGGGTGTGCAGGAGGCAGCTGATCAATGTTTCTAGCTCTCTATCCCTCTTCCTTCCTCTCTGTGAAAAATCAATAAAATATACATATAGATCTGTCTCGTTCCCAGAAATATTCTTTATACAGATACACTTCGATTTATCTCGCTTCCTTACTGTGAAACAATTAGATTCTCCCAGGCTTTTGATATTATTAGTGGTGCAATAACACCCTTACCGCTGAAGTCAGACAGCCTTAGTTCAGACTCCAGATAACCCTCTTTACTTACCTTGTGTCCTTTAGCAAGTTATTTAACCTATACATGCCTCTGTTTTCTGGCCCGTAAAATGGGGATAAAATTGTCCTTGCAATATCCCCATGGAAAAAAAAAAACCTAGTAAGTAAAATGAAATGTATAATACACCTAATGAATTTAGCATGTTCTAATCATGATAATTATCAGTTGTGAGTACTTACTATTAGCTAGGCATTAGGCGGATAAAGACCACACTGTTTTTGTGTGTTAGCCTTATAACACATTTTTAATATCTGTAAAGGCAAGTACCACATCATCCTTATTAAAATGACATTCGCTATTCCTGTTCATTTACTCTGCCAGGTAGATTTTTAAATCAACTTGCCACCTACCTCCCATCAATGTGACAAATGTTGTTTTTTTAAACGCCGTTGGCATTTTCAAGGGCGGCTCTACCCTTGAAGGTTGCCAGAGTAGAATGACCCTTGGACTTGAGTCACCCAGAACCGGGTGTCCATGGGGTGCCCTGCCAAAGCCACCTGACCATGGGAAGGTCGTTTAAATGCTCTGAGCTTCCCTGCCTGTGAAATGGGAGAGACGGTCCTTCTAGGAGTCAGGGGGTGTCGTAAGGAAGCACTGCAGAGATGTTTATTTAGTGACTGATGTGCTTGCTTTGGAGGCAAGTATTTTTACTTTTATCTTCAGGTCCTTCATCATCAGCCCCATTTTCAGTGGCAACGCTAAGATGATCCTCGGTGCAAAGAGTTTGGCCCTGGCCCGTTTGGCTCGGCCTGTGCACTGAAGGGCCCCAGGTTCAATTCCGGTCAAGGGCACATACGCCGGGTGTCGGGCATCATCCCCAGTGGGGGGCATGCAGGAGGCGGCTGATCAACGATTCTCTCTCATCATTGATGTTTCTCTCTCTCTCTCTCTCTCTCTCCCCCTCCCTCCCTCCCTCCCTCCCTCCCTTCCTCTTCCTTCCTCTCTGAAATCAATAAAAATATATTTAAAAAGAAAAAGAGTTGGTGTCAGGGCAAGAGCCGCAGTGTGCGAGCAGGGTGAGGTCGCAGGCCCCCCGCTTCCTGTGTAAGGCGAGCAGTACATTGAGCACCGGTGAGGACTCGCCAAAGGGATGGGAACAAACAGAGGCCATCGCCTGGTGCCAGCGTGTGCCACCGGCCATGGACTTCCTGCCGCAGGATACGGCTGACCTTTGGAGCGTCACTGCTTGGGTGAGGCTGCCCTTTCGCAGGACAGAGCACAGCTGTTGTCTCGATGTCCCAGGCCAGCTCCATAACTTCGTTTGGCAGCCAGCTCGGGGTGGGAGCAGTTTGGAAAACAGTCTGCTTTCAGGTTGAAGGCAGGCCCGTATGAAGGGGATCTTTGTTTTGTGTTACCAGCAGGTTGTTTGGTAATCCTCCTTAGAACAAAAATGAGCACTTAGCAGCAGCTTTAAAAAAAAAAAAAAGTATTAAGAGAACTCATAAAAGTCAGGAGCAGATGTGCAGGGGAAGGTCACACTTCCAGACCTCTCGGGGGGACTATTTCTGGACTAACAGGTCCAACAAATGTGTTAATTCAGGTTGAGATTTTTCTTATGCAAATATTGACTCAGTCTCCGTCTCTGCAGTTAACTCTCCAGCTTGAATGTGTTCTTTCAGGAGAATGTGCCTAGATGTTTTCTTTCCCCCTGTCTCGTAGTTTGCCCACCCTTCATTTTGAACCCTTAGCAGGTGAGTTTTTAATGGCCAGCTCTGAGTTCTTTTCATAGGTCTGAAAAATGCTTATAGGGATGAATGTAACCGTCCCTTCATCTTCCTAGTGGCATAATTGTGGAGAAGGAGAGAGAAGAGACGACACTTGACTCCAGAAAATCCTGGCAGAATGTAAATGACTCTGTCTTAGATCAGATTGCACAAAAATAACTTCTAACCCACTGTTGAATATTAAAGAAAAACAGAGGACAGATTTTGTTGATTCCTCCCACCCTCCCACCCAGTTCACATGGTATTTTAGTTATCATTAATTTAAAAACGTGTGTTCTGAAGTTTATATGAATTCATGTATATTTTTAGTATAAAAGTAAAAATTTTGACTAAAACATATAACAACTATAACATATACTTCACTTCATTCTTCAAGGATATTTTCACAGGATATAGAATTCTGGATTGAAGTGTTTTTCTAGATGCATCTCTGGCTTCCGTGGTCCCCAGAATTTTTGTTACCTTTATATAATGTTATCATTTCTCTCTGGCTGCTTTCAAGATTTTGTTATTTTTATGTTTGGTTTTCTTTATATTTATCTTGCTTGTAGTTCATTGAAATTCTTGTATTTGTAAAGATAGATTATTTACACCAGATTTGAAGAACTGTCAAGCCATTAATTCTTCAAATGTTTTTCTACCCCATTCTCTTTCTTCTCCTTCTGGGACGACAATTACACCCATGGTAGACTTATTTGTCCTAAAAGCCTAAGATTCTGTACAGGTTTTCCTTCTGTTTTGTTTTTTCCCAACCTTTCCCCCCCCCCCCCCCTTTCAGTTCTTTAAGTTACATTATGTCATCTCCATTCTGTTTAGTTCATCCAGTGATTTTCTTGGGGGAAGTTGTACATATTGTTGTTGTTTTTAGTCCTAGAACTTCCCGTTGGCATTCTTTTATGGTTTCTGTTTCTCTGCCACCGTGCAGGCCACCACATACATGCATAGTTCAGGAGTCAGCCGGAAATCTAGGCAGAAGTTTTACACAGAATTTGTGGCTCTTTCTTTCTGACTATGTTTTCTGGGATTCCCTCTTCCCTTTCTGTTTCACATATCCCTTTACGCCATTGGGCATAATTATAATAGCTGTGTAAACATTCTTCTCTGCTAATGGCTGCATCTGGCTTATCTTGGGATCACTATTGTCTTGTTTTTTGTTGTTGTTTTTTCTTGAGGATAAGTTGTACTTTTCCTGTCTCTTTGCTTAATTTTTATTGTACTTTGGACATTGCCCTATTATGTTGTGGAGACTCTGGATCCTGTTCTTCTGAAGAGGTTCATTTGGGAGCAGAGTGAGTTGTTGTTTATTTTGGGCTTTGCCCTTACCCAGCAACTAGCTTAAACCACAAACTCTGTCTCTGGGGCAGCACCTCAGTTCTTGGCTCAGTTATATTTTTCCTTCTCTAGGTTGCTCAGAGGCCACCTCATGCAGACATGATTCAGGAGTCAGCTGGAAATCTAGGCAGAAATTTTTACACAGAACTGGAGGTCCTTCCTCTCTGACTCTTATCCTCTCTGGGATTCCCTCTTCCCTTCCTAGTGGCTGTGCTTGTCCCACAGTCTGTCTCCCAGGTATGCGTGCTTCCTATTGGAGTGTCAGCCACCTGGCGTGGCACCCACGGCAGCCTGCTCCCAGGAGTCAGATCCGCAGGCCTCCAAGGTCCCTCCGGCCCTAGCGTCCTCTCATCAGAGGCTGCTTGAAAAACCGGTTGCCCAGATTAAATATTTCCCCCCTGCCATGTGAGTTTGCCCTGCTGGCCAACTCTTTCTTTATGAAGTCTGGAGTATACTGCTAGATCCTGTGTGAATTCCATGTTCGGAACTTATAAACCTTTGCTGTGAGGTAGTCTTCCTTTTCACAGAGTTGTGACATGGCAAGCTATTGAACTTGATGAGCCTGGAGAGTCCAAACTTGAAATGAGACTCTTAGCAGAATGCTTATACCATTCTGGTAATTCTCACATGCAAGGAAATGAACTTTAAAAAAAAAAAAAAAAAAATATATATATATATATATATATATATATATATATATATACACACACACACACACACACACACACACACATATATATATAGTATTGATTTTTTACAGAAAGGAAGGGAGAGAGATAGTTAGAAACATCAATGAGAGAGAGTCATCGATCAGCTGCCTCCTGCACGTCCCCTCCTGGGGACCTGCCCGCAACCAAGGTACATGCTCTTGACCGGAATCAAACCAGGGACCCTTACAATCCTCAGGCCAATGCTCTATCCACTGAGCCAAACCGGTTTCGGCAAGGAAATGAACTCTTAAAGTTGTACCAAACAACACGATGCCTTTTGTTGAAAAGAGCACCTATGAGCGTGTGAGTTTTTAATAATGGCTCTAGCATTATCTCTGATGTACTAAGCATTTTCATCTTTGGCGGGGGGGGGGGGGGGTGGTCTGAAACAGTACATTGAACCATTGGGTGATGATGAAAAATTCACTCTCCGACTGCAAGCATCCAAGTCTAGCTGGACATCTGTGTCAGAGTGAAGACAAGATGCTGGAAATAGTGTCATTTTCAGGCCACTGGGGGGCAGGGGGATATATGTGGGAAAGCTGTGTGATGTAGGAGCGCAAACCTTTGGGAGGAGAAACAGAAAGAGGGGTAGCCCAGAGCACCCCCTTTGGTGACTTTGCCGTTGCTGTGCTGGCTTGGTGACTGGCTCAGAACCAGTTCCAGAGACACAAGCTCCATCCCTTATGGAGGGCGGCTGGGGATGCAGACCACTCTGTTGCAGAGAAAACATGTTTCTCAGCATTCCGTTCACTTTTCATCTTAGTGGGGACTGAAACCGTGTCCCGACCTCATCAAGACCATGTGAACGACCACCAAGCCACACATCTCCGTGTCTCTGTATCTGTGGCCTATGAATTGGACGACGATGCTTCGTCTTCAGATTTCTTGATAGAAGGAGTCCAGAGTCATGTCAGAACCCCCAGGGCCTTTTACAAAGAGGGGCTTCTCTCGGGGGACCGCAGTGAGCGGGGTCTCGGATCCACGCCTCCAGCCCGAGGCCCCACTGAGGGAGGAGGGTGCTCCCTGGGCCGGGAGACGAGGTGCCACATCAGAGACTCTGCCATCTTACAAATATCCCACTGAAGTGCATGCTTCCTGGTCGTCAGCAGACAGCCTGCTTTGAAGCCAGAATCCCTGTCCAAGCAATAAATACTCTGCCTCTACCTCTGTCTTTAGCACACTTTCACCTCTCCTCAACTTCTTTATAAGGATTTTTTTTCTTACCACTATAAAAGGGACTGAAGAAATCTTAGAAATATAGAAAACTATAGAGGCAGGAAAGTCATTCATAATATTGCAAATTGAAGATGTTCAATTTCTACAGTGTTTTGCCTTGCCTTGTTAATTTTTGTGCATAAATATCACAAAGGGACTGTGGGAAATAGGCTGCATGTATAGTTGAACACGCCAGTTCTTTGTCACATAACGAGAATTTTTCCATAAGCAAAGATGAAGTGCTGCCGTTTGCGACAACTTGGATGGGCCTTGAGAATATCATGCAAAGCAAAAGAAGTCAGACAGAAATAAGTTAAAACTATATGATTTTACTCATCTGTGGGATATAAAACGGAAAGCAACAAACGAACAAATAAGAAAAACACACCAACCAGAACTCATAGACACAGACAGCAGGATGGGGGTTACCAGAGGGAAGGGGCTGAGAGGTGGCAAAGTAAAGGGGCATATAGTGACAGAAGGAGGTTTGATTTTAGGCGGTGAATACACAGTGCATGTACAGATGATGTATCCTAGAACTGCACACTTGAAACTTATGTAATTTTATTAATCAATGTCACCCTAATAAATTTAATTTTTAAAA